CACCTTCCCTGCTCTGAGTCATGGAGGAGTTTCATGTCAGAAGTGATAGAGACCCTCAAAAGATTCTGAATTGATGGATTCATTGATTATTGGCAGAAAGGGTGAGAAAATAGCAAGAAAGTAGCCAGTAGCAAGAGCTAGTGTTGTGCACTTGCAAATTGAACTCAGAAACAAGTGAATTTGAAAGAAAGTGCCTTTGATGAAGAAAAGAGTATGTTAAATGGTCTAGCATGGAGTGTGGAAGGGATCTTTTTACCCTGTGAACCTGAAAGTATGACTGATTTTTTTTTTGTTTTAAAAGTATGTTTCCTAATAATTAAAACCCTTAGCAAGTTACATAGTATACTATCTGTAGCAAGTTGTTCTCTATCCGCTCTTCCCCCCAACAGATAACATTATGTAATTGAAAATGTAACCAGCCAATTACTATCAAAGACAAACAACGGCAATCATAATCAGTATCCAAAGAGTACTTGGCATGATGGCTAAAATGGCCAGTCATGTTTAGAATTTGTATGTGACATACATGTTACAAATGGATGCCAGGTAGCCTCAAATGTATCTCCAGCTATTTCACCTCTGGTAAAGCAAAGTTTGAGTGCTAATTTCTCTAACAACTTGGTCTGCCCAGCGATGAATGGATAAACCTTGTAAGTTCTTCAGTGTCCTTGTTAACTCCATCCTTACTGAGCATAGCAAAGTAGATGTAAGATCTTTACATAGGACATTTTCATTTGCACCATCATAAATTGATAAGATATGTTAAGTAATTTGAAAGCATGCATCTTGAGTAGTTATTTTGTTAATCCAATCAAATACATTCTGCCAAAATGGAATTATTGTAGGGCAGACGCACATGTGTTCCAATAAGCCAGTCTTATTACAACCTCTCTAAGGGGGGTTGCAGACTGCTAGAAATAGTGCAAATTGAGTCCACTTTTAGGGTTAGGGTTAGGGAATCATGGGAACTGTATTTTATTGTAGCACCAGAGCTCTCTGACAGAGAAGGCTTAATGTCTCAGAAAAAAAACAATTCCCATGGTTCCCTAGCACTAACCCTAACCCTAAAAGTGAACTCAATTTGCACTATTTCTGGCAGTCTGCAACCCCCATAACATTTGTTTGACAAATCATTATTGATTTTGTATGGTCTTAAGGGGCACAACTACCAGCAGTGTATCACTTTAATAGTAACCTCATTTACTGTTGCAGACAACAACTTA